AACCTTTTGGCATTTATTGAACAGGATACTGGAAGAAACTCCCTTCTGTTTATTGAATAATGCCATGGCATCTTTAATGTTCATCCTGAACTGGCAGATGGGACCTGAGTTTAACATTTCAGCTAAATGATGGCATTTCCAACAATGTGAAAGGCGCTATTTCAAATGCAAGGATCATTTTTATGATATCACACCGAAGCTGTCACCTTTTGGACTGCAGTGTTTTAAACAACTCTGCAGTCTATTGGTGAGAAGCTATGAAGGTTATTTGAGAGCATCTCATTGTTATTCATTATCAGGATCAAACCAGAAAAACCGAAGCAGCAAATCTGTCCTATTAGAAATAACACGTTATAAAAACAATTTCAGATTAAGGTCTCAACCAAGATGACAATTTTAATGACTGGAATGAATAATTACTGTACAATGATAAATGATTACAGATGTGTTTCTCAGTCTACCCCAGGAGCGATGCCATTTGGAAAGGAAGGTTTAGTTTACTGTGTCTGAGTCAATTCATTGACGCACTCAAAACCATCTCTCTCTTTACATTGTCTTGATTAAACAAAGAAATAAATTGAAATAAACAAGGTGCTCAAAATTCCTCGCTTTGTGAATAGCAAGAGAAATGTTTTCATATTCATCTTATGTATTTGCACTATTGCCCAAAATCCCAGTGCTGAGTGTGCATATAATCATTCTGTTCCTTTAATTAAAATAACTACTCAAGACAAAATCTTATTGATCAGCATTTTACACACTGAAAGTGCATGGGTCCTGACTTTCCTTTGTAATTAACATTTCAATTATGATCTGCTGAGCGTTAATGCTGACTGTGGATTTATGCATAGAACTGTAAGTTGCAACAGCAATAACGCAACATGTGTCTAACATAACAACTTCAACAAGAACTTGCATTTATATTGTGCCCTTCATGTGGGGGAGCAGCTGGGAGTGCTATGGCATTTTGGCACATGGTATGATGTGTCCATCGAGTGCAACAGCGACAATACAAATCTTGAGTTTTAATTGTACAAATGTACAATATATCATAGTGCAATCTGAATATGCTGGCATTCGTCCAACACGGAAGCGTTTCACCTTTGCCCGTCTGTCCTCTAGTTTCCTCCCTCTGCTTTTACAGCCATTTGGTTTCAAACATAATTCGGGTATCAACTCATGAATGACCCTGCTGCCCTATTTGTTCTCAGGAGTGTTTGCTGCATGTTATAAGAGTACCTAATTGCTCTGGGATGCTACCCTGCATGACGGGCGCTATATAAATGTAAGTTCTTGTTGTTGTAATTGTCCCTTTCCCTCTAAATTAGAGAGTCCTGTAGTGTATTGGTTAGAGCACTTGCCTCGCAAGCAAGAAGATCCAGGTTTGATTCCCAGGCAGGGAAATTTCCTTACTCCATACATTTCTGTTTACCTATCATTAAATAAGAAGCTGGTTGTTAATTGATTAGCGGATTGCTTTTCGGAGGTAATAAACTCACAAAAAAAATGTGGTCACTCAATCCACGACTAGTTTGTGGGACACTGCTGTGTGCATTTCGCCCCGCATTTCATCCACAAAGTATGCAGGCAATTCACTTTACAGTATATTCTGTAAAGCGCTTTAAGACATTGCGATGACGTGATAAGGCGCTATATCAAAGCCAGGATTAATATTATAAATATGTTTAACTTTGGATTGCAAGCAGGATGAAATGTGATAATTTCCCTTTGGTGTGAATTGCTGGTATTCCTCTCTTTTTGTTCTTATTTATGCCATCCATTAGCGAACAGATGAGTTGACACCTAAATGAAATCCTTGGAAGAGGTTTTTAGGGATTTGAAGTGGTGGCAGTCTTAAAGCGTTTTAGAGACTTCTGGCTGGGCAAAATAAGAGGCATTGGCACAAAAAATGAAATAAAAATCCAACTATTTCAGCAACAGTACAAAACAAGTACTGTACTCAAAAAGTTTGAACAGCAAACAAATGCCAAGCTATGGAGAAATGATCAAGTCAGTGCTTGAAATTTAATGGCTTGCACCTTTTCAGGCTGTGTCGTAAATGCTGAGAGAGGTTGAAATCCTTCCTTAGTTTTTGTGAGAGGTTAGAGGCCTGTGTTTCGTACAATTACCAAAATATCCTTCATGATATACTATTAAGATACATGCCTGTTACAGCAAATCTTATAAGCACCCAATTCATTTTATTGGGTCTTCCTGGGAGGAAATGGAATCCACCAGAGAGTCTGTTTGCTTGTAGCCCACAATTGCATTGCAGAAAAATCTGTAAAAAAAATGAGTTCCTCAAGCAAAACACTATCCCAAAACGAGCAACATGTTTTTGAGGAAGAATTCATGATGTTTCCTAACAAGTGGATCCGTGCAGTCTAACGGGGAACGTGAAATCACATCACTTTAATGCTCTTGGGAAATCTTGTAAAATAATGATAGAAAGTGCTGATTTGGAATTGTGTCTGCTATTTACTCATCACTCACTTATTCATTCAGGTGTCTGTCCCTCACTCAATAATATCCCTGTCACTCATTCACTCATTTATCTGTCACTCACTCACTCACTCACTCAATCAATCACTCAATCAATCAATCAATCAATCAATCACATGTCCATTGTCACTCACTCACGTGTCCGTCACTCACTCACTCACTCACTCACTCACTCACTGCATTCTTCTCTAGGTGCTGAGAATACAATGACAATACTATGTACTGTTTAGTGAGCGGGTGGAGGGGAGCACTGTTTTTGTAGTCAGTAGAAGAGGTGTTCCAGCTCTACTGCATCAGATCCTGATTAAAATTAAAGTGACAAAATAAGTTCTACAAACTTGTTCTCTCTTGTTTGCTTGTAATAGGATCGGGAATCTATTCCTAATCCAATTATTTGGTGGGGGTGTGTGGGGAAAGTTTTGGGAGCATCTCCAAAAGCTGTTATTAACTTTTCTTACAAACTCAGCAACTACACTTGACAGCAAAACCCCATCAGATATTTTGATAATCCTTGTGTTTAATATAAAGTTTATTATGTTAAAATGTCGCCTAGCTCCCAGATGCAATCTTGCGTGAAGGACACTACACACATCCAAGTTGTTTTAGCTGTCAGGTATAGTGACTGGGTATTAGTAGGCAGATATGGTACAGCACTAGAAATCTCTCTCTTTTTCTCTCACCCAACCAGCTAATGGGCTGCAGCATCACTGGATGCCTCTTTGTGAATGAATAATGGAGCTTAAATCAAACTCCACAAGTCAGTCCCCTCTGTGCCCCTGTCAGCACATCTGTGCTCTGCCTTTTCTTTCAGATAAAGACTTTTGGTTTTAAAAATGAAAAATAAGTGAATAATGAGTAAGAACAGCCGAAAGGAAGCCAAACACTTACAAACCACAAATGTAACATTAATGTACAGAACCTATAAATAGTTTGTAAATTGGCTGTGAATATTTCAGCTCCTGTCTTCCTTAGTTGGTTCATATTCATAATTGAGGTCAGAAGGCTGTGGTTATATTCTGTCTAGGCAAGCTGCGTTATGTCTCTCACACAGCTCAGGATTCCTTTCTCTCTTACTTCTGGCAGGACCTGCAGTAGTCACATAGCATTTGTATTGGCCTGAAACAAAACAGCAATGGATCTAATTAGCATACAGCACAAGTCACAGAAAATGGTTCCCTGCTGGAAATTTCAAAGGAAATGACTTTGCTTTGTCTTTGTTTTAGGATCAGTCCATTACCAACTGTGTCTATGTTCAAATATAATGCATTACTTCTTTTCCCCTCCCACTTCCCCATCCCCCACTAAAAAAAATTGCATAAATGCTGCAGTATTTAATCCAGGACAGTACAAATGACCTTCTGACTCTTAAACCTTATCCATTGTCTTCTGATGGGTAGCACAGTGCCATCTGGTGTATGTGAAAGGAAGAATGGTTTCCAGTTTCCAGCCATTAGACCCACAAATAAAATACAATGCCAACATAGAAAACCATTGATTGTTTAAGTGTGTAAAAGGCTGCGTCTCCTGAATGTTCCCTTGTCACACAGATATCTCTTGGTACTACTGATAGATTTGTTCCAAGTTGGTTGATAGATATGTGTGCATATACAGAGCTGCAGAGGAAACCTACCTTTTGAATCCAAACAGATCTATTTTTTCTTTGAACTCTGCAGCAATAAGAGTTTCAGCTTCTGTTACCTTATTCGGTGTTCCACTGCTCCAGCTCTTCAATAATTATACTGAGTCTGGATTGTCATACTGGATCTCAGATGAAACAAGACATTACTGCTAATATTTAGTGACTGTTTATCACATTTAATAATAATAATCCTTGCATTGATTACAATGTGAAGATGTCTCAAAGCCATTCACAGCATTTACTATAATATGTAGTTACTGTGGATTTTGTAGGTGAATGTTGTCGTCAGTTTGAACACAACAATGTCCTACAAACAGCCATGAAATGAATGATCAGTTTTATCTTGCGTTTCATGTCTAGGACACCGGGAAAAACCCTCTTTGAATAATGCCATGAAATTGTTTTTTTACCATCCGCCTGAACAGGCAGCTGTGGCTTCAGTTTAACATTTCATCCAAAGGACAAATAGTTATACTGGATGAGAGCTAATTTTCTCCAGCTGAACATTAACAAAACTGAGGCTCTCTTGATTGTCTCCCGTCAGCGCCTCCACACTTCAGACACTGACAGCATCACCGTCCATGGTTGCACACTCCACCTTACTAAGCCAGTCTGGAACCTTGGCATCTTGTTTGACCCTCAACCGTACTTTCTCCCCCACATCCGTGCAATGATCCGCTCCTGTTTATCAACTCCTCACTGTAAAGTCAGGAGTTGATAAACAGGAAATTTATATCCTGGATCCAGTTATATATCTCCAGTTTGATTTTGCAATGTTGCGATCATTAAGTTTGTAGATGGTGTCAGTGTAAGATTCAAAAAACCTGTTTTTCAACATTACTCTTGTGTTGCTTTTCAGGGTGCTGTGATCACGCCCACAATGGACCACACCATGTCCATGCAGCCTGCCAGTATGATGGGACCGCTAGCCCAGCAGATGAATCATCTGTCACTGGGCACAGCAGGAACAGTAAGTTATGGCAATATCAAGCATCTTTAGCAGGAAACTTCTAATCTCTGGTCACTTTCTTTTTTGGTTCTGCATTGTATCAATAATGTAAATGGAAATATTGCTGACGAGGTACCATTAAGGATATGGAATATATTTTAAGGCAAATGACTTGAATCCAGTAAATTGAAGTACTGGAGTTTTTCTACAGGTTATTAATGAAATTGCTGCTCCTTCTCCAATGCAGTCATGTCATAATGGAAAAGCCCCATATTATCATGATAAATTGGTGTAATATCTGTACTGAATACTGTCTTGGATTGTTACAAAACTGGCAATTTTTTATTGAAGAACCTAGGTGATGAATGAAATTCCATAGTATACAGTATACCACCATGATGAAGAAAAGAGAAGAGATGAAGTAAATTAGGAGGGTGTGGTTAGGTGCACCATGCTTGATATAGGTGCCCTATTATAGCTTGTACTCTGAACCCAAATGTAGACTTCAATTCAGGAAGGAGGAAAAGTGTGTAGGACATTTAACTATGAAGTACAAAGCTCCTACTGCTTGTGAGTGCTTAAAATAATATTGAATATTAATATTGAAATGTCAAGGATCTTCCATCTTTAGTAATTCCATTCTACATTCTTTAAAATCCATACATGTGCAATCTCTCCTCATTTTCCTCTGCAATTAAATAATAATAGTAATAATAATCCTTATATTTGCCTTATCATGTCATAAATTCAATAGTTACAGTAGCACATAGTAAAGAATAACTTAAGCTTTGTTCTGCTTTTTGCTTTTTTTGGTCTATTAACAATTGAGACACCATTTTTTTAAAAAAACAAATCTTGTTATAATTTTTTTTGCAATGACATGAATTGCACTTTTAGATAAATTAGCCAGATTGTCTGAATGAAACAACAGTGCCTCTTGGAATGCAACATCCTCTCTGGGCTGCACTGGATTGTTAGCCTAGAACCGCAAGCTCAAGGTTACCATGTGTGACTTGGACCCACAGCTTTCTGACCAAGAGGTAAAAAAGCCGCCAATTGAACCAGGCTGATACTCGAGGATCGCTTCCACATGGGATAATAATATTAGGCCTGTTGGGGGGAGGGGGTGGGGAAGAGAGTGGGTACATTCGAAGGTAAAGTTCCGAAGGACCTCCTTCATCCATCCAGACCAATTTGGCAATCTTGTGAAAGTCCTTATCACGGAAGAATTTTGCTTAAAAGTAGTGTTCTCCTTTAAACGCATGTTTTAAACAATGAGATAATGTTTTCATTTGGCCAGGTTATGCACTGGATTTTGTGAGTCAATATCTGAAGGAATATGACCCTTGTGGACACGTTCTGTTACTAATCAGAGTTTTGTTGAACTGCAGAGATGCTGAGAGCAGCAGCTGGGCCACCTATCACTATATAATTATCCTGCTCTCCCTCTGCTCCAAAAAGAATGAGATGCTATTTAGTTTTACCATCAATAATAATCATAATTAAAAAGTGCATATCCTGTACAGAACCAGAAGTAATAATGTACTTTTATTTTCCACATTGTTAATCAGTGCAAGTAATGGTCTTTAACTATCTAATTAGGGAATTAGAAAATGTCCAACCATTTGCGAACTTGTAATGCCCTGATAGCTCACTGGGGGTGAACAGGCAGTCGGCCAAAAGATATCCCAGTAGTTTGCATTATAAGAATGTGAATGACTGTGTCATTCAGCAGGATGGCAACTGCTTGTCATTTTGACAGTGAAGTGAATGGTTCCAGATTCAGTTTCTCCTTCGACTGGTAACTTGACAGCCCTATGCAACGGTGAAAATGGATGCAATTGACTTAAGGCCATGAGATGCCTCCTCTCCTTTTTTCTGGATGTAATAAATGTTGTGAAATGCATGAGAGTGGGGAACAAAACCCTATTGCATTTTTGAGAAGTGTTCTATTTTCTTGACAATGATCAGGTATTGTGATGTTAAAGAAGGAAGGTCTTTTCTGTATTTGCAGTCAATTTGTGCACAGTAATGTCTCACAAACAACCATGAAGTGAATGATCAATTAATCTAGAGAGTTGCTGGCCTATAAAGGAACATTGCCAAACATGGGTCAACTTTAAACTAGAAAATGAAATAAGAAACACTGGAAATCAACAACAGTCGAGTTGGCCTAATGTTCCAAATGTAGGTCATTAACCAGAGCCTGCTGGACCACATACTTGTGTGGATGTCAACTGAGGACAGGATGAGGCATACAAGTACGTGGGCCTCACCAGTGATTGAAAAGTCTGGCAGAATCTCAAGGATTTTACATGAAGCTACTTGGTGACCACACTGCAGTCAATAGAATCGTACCCAGGTAGCCTTTAGGAGAGGCAGGGGTGAAGGGGAGAAATTCAAAGGGGGAAAGGGGGATGGTGGGAGTGGTCTAAACAAACAGGAAGGAAAGTCTCCAAATCAGTATGTGTGCATTACAGAACTTGCAATTGCAGATAGGAAAATGCAGAATCGGAAAAGATTCTGATTGACTGCGAATACAGAAAAGACTTTCCTTCATTAACAATCCAATCCAAAGGCTGTGTAATTGTATAGTTTGGAGCACAGCTCCAGCAACGGTTGGTTGACCAGTTTTCATCTGGACTCATGCTTCTTGTCAATGTATTGTTTTTACTCGTGCCTCTTGGCATATGTGAAAATGTTTGCAAGAAGTAGGATAAAAATGGGGTGGGCTAATGGGATAATTAGCTAGAGTCCCTGGAGTAGTGGTTAGTGCATTTGCCTTGCAAGCGAGAGGACCCAGGTTCTATTCTTGGGCAGGGCAAAACCTTAGGCAGGTGTCCTTACTCCACATGCCTCTGTTTACCTAGCAGTAATTTGGAACCTGGTTGTTAGTCTTTTGGTAGATTCCTTTCCGGAGGTAATAATCCATCCAAAGAGAAAGCAAGAAAAACAATTCAAATCTTAATATAAGACCTGAAATTTACCAAATAAAATTATTTGCTTCAGAGTCACTAAATGACTCTTCGATCACACCTATGTTCCCCTTCCCCTCTACCCTTCCTTTCCCCTCCTTAGTTTCCAAACACGACAGCAGAAACTCAGTAAGCATCCTCATCCCCACCTGGACAGGTGCCAATCACAATAAGGGCATCGGAGTGGAGGGTTGGGTCTTTAACACATGCTGATCATTAACAACCTAACTTTTTGTTACCTGTTTATAATAAATTTCCCATTCTAAATCCGGATGGGTTATTGGACAGCTGGTGTTCGATCCCACTGCATGGAGCCAGCCTCATCCTCTCAGGGAGGAAAGAAGTAAAATCAATGGGCAGCTTGTTGCATAAGTGACATGAATACAATGGGTTGAATGGCTCCCTACTGCTCTGCTCGTGATCTTCCTTGGTAGATTTCTGTGGGTCTATCGATCAATCTGGGCTGCTCTTAGGCTCCCCCTAGTGTGAGGCTAAAGTGCAATATTCACAAAGAACCTCCTAGCAAGTTTCCTTGCCTGTGCTTCTTGACAGAGAAACGCCATGTAGCACAAGACGGTGCAAAATAGGAGGAACACAATCTGAGGGGAGTAAAAAATTCTGAGTGGAGTAAAACAAAACTTATATTTGATCAATAATAGCTCCTGCATCTTTGCTTTGACTGCTAGATGATATGACCCGAGAGAAGCTACAGGTTTGAAATGATTGTAACCTGCAGACAGGCCTCAGATTAACTGCTTGAAGTGATGCTGAATTTACATGGAGGCAATTAAACTAATGAAGAAGATTGCTCCATACTTCCAAACAGAGACCTATAATAACTGACTTTGCAGGTTTCATTTTAATTCTCCATTAACAAATATAAATTACACACTGATCTAGAGCGTGACGATAGACAGAGAGTCAACAGAGAGTAATTACAACAAATTTATGTTTATTATTAACGGCCTTAAAATCATTTACAAGTAAGAAGAGAATTCAACTTCAGAGACTATTCCTGCACTAATCTGTTATTTATTCAATTTATGCAAAACATGATAGATAGGAACATCATCACAATGATTTGCTTTGTTTCAATGTTAATAATTTAATAGTAATAATAACTGTAGAGTGATACTGTCCTGCGCTGTTTACAATTCCACCTGGACCAGGACTGCAAATAAACCAAAATGCCAAATAAGTGTGACAGCACTATATTGAAGGGCATTATAAAAAGGTTCCCCTGTATTAACAGTCTGTGACCAAATTAACTGAGAGCTCCACGACCTACCTCATGCGAAGAACAAAAACCAGAATGGAATGAATGGCTCGTTTCCATGCTGTGATTTTAAGTAATTCCCTTTGTTTTCTCCAAAATGAGAGTATTTCACTATCCCATGTTTTTAACAGTACTATTAAGAACCATTTATCCTTTGAGAAGATAGACATTGAGTATTGATACAGAGGAATCCTGCTGTAGTGGCCTTCAATATAGCGTAGCTTTGCTTATAAGTTGGGAAGTTAATGGACCCGACATTTTGTGGAATCAAGGTATGAATTGCCATTGTCGTAAGAATAGTACAACAGTTCACACTGGTATAGCTGCAAACACTGGATAGAATCCAGAGAGGATAACAATATGGTTTAGATCATGGAGCTGTTTGGAGAGGCTTTGGAAATTCAATCTATTCTCACTGAGAAATGACATTTAAGGAGAAATGTGATCCAAGTTTTTAAAATAACAAAAAGTAACATGAAGGCACAAGTCTATTCTGTGCAAACCTTGTGCTACATGGCTGCTGTTAAGATCATCTTGCAAGTGGTGCTATATTATTCATACTTGCATCTGATAAGCGCCTCATTGTGTCGAAACAGCTCAAAGCATTTTGCACAATGAGTTCCTTTGAGGTGTAAGGTATGTAGGCAAACAAGACAGCTCATCTATACTAGAGATGATATAAATGATTACATTTGATTCAGAGAGGAATGTTGACCAAGACATTGGGAGAGCTCCCAGCTCTACTTTGAAATAGCCCTATGGGATCTTTAATAATAATAAACCTTGCATTTGATATAGCGCCTTATCATGTCATTGAGCTGTCTCAAAGCACTTCACAGAATGTATTGTAAAGTGGATTGATTGTGTATTTTGTGGGTGAAATGCGTCACCCAGTTACACAGAGCAGTGTCCCACAAACATTGATGGAAACAGAGGCATGGGGAGTAAGGAAATTTGGCTAAGGTTTTGCTCCATCCAGGAATTGAACCTGGAGCCTCTCACTTGTGAGGAAACAACTATGCTACGGAACTCCACATGTATCTGAACCACTAGATCAGGATCTTGGATTAGGGTCTTTGTGTAGGACTATGACATTTATAGAGCTGGTCTCAAAGAGATCCCAGGGGTAGGATTTTGTCAATGTGTGACTTGTTCTTTCTTTTATAAGAGAAGAACTTAATGCCATTAGCTGCCCCTATCAACCTCTAAAGCGCTCCGGGACACTATCCCGCATGAAGTGCACTATATAAATGGAGATTTTTGTTGTTATCAACAAAACAGCCAGTCAAGGCGACATTGGCACAAAATACAAAACGAACAGAGAGAAAAAAAAATACCTGCATATACCTGCAGGATGTGATTTGTTTAAAAAAGGTCACTGAGCAGAATGTAGTTTTTGGGTGATGCAGTGGAATGTGGTTGTAGTCTGTCCTTAGTCCAAAAAACACATCTCAGATAATAATCTGTAATTACATCCTTACGGTTTGTGAAGGGGACATAGCTCCATGTTCTGCAGGCATCCAGTGTCTAATTACACAGTCCAGGAGAAATTAAGCCTGGGAAGACACGGTGTAGTTAAACTCTTCTCTTTAACAGCTGCTCTGCTAATGTCATCCTGAGATGCCAGACCTAAGCCATGTCAACCATACATTTTTATGAGATTACATGCATAAACATCCCTAAAGACATGTGACAACCAGGATATGACTCTCCAAAGATAGGATTTCCTTTTGACTTTCAGATATTTCTGCATCCGGGGGAACCCCATTATAGTGCCCTTCAGTAGAGTGCTACCTGACGTAGAGCATGAGTCTCCTGTGGACTCGAGGTATATGAAAGTGTAGTACTCTGGCTTCTAGCAATCACTAGCTGGCTTCTCATGCTAAAATGTGTATGAATTCCTGGATGTCAGGTCGTTACTTCCTTCTCATTGCATGTGTGCACAGAAAGTGTTGCTGACTTCTTGCATCACACTGTGCAGGAAGCACCACTATGTCATTTGATAATGGAAGTGATGCCAGCAGCACATCTCATACATAGCATCCACGCACAGCGTGCAGAAAATGACTTCAACATCAAACTGATGGAAGTCGGACATTTTTTCAGTGCTCTTTTTGTTCTGGAATAATTTGGAGAAAAGTTACAGAATAAGTCCTGAACCTAAAATATATTATATAGTCTTATATTTCTGCTTCCGTTTTTCAATCCTGTACGATATTATTGATTTATTGTATCAGTTTTTAAAATATCCTTTGCTGTTCTCAAGTGTGAGCTGAGAAATAACTGATGTGATGCTCTATGCCTTTCAGTACATGACAGCTGCAGCACCTATGCAAGGGACCTACATTCCCCAGTACACTCCTGTGCCTCCAGCAGCGGTGCCTGTTGAAGTAAGTACATTGTACATCGAATAATCTGTCCGAAGGTCTGAAATCACATGGTCTGAGCCTTAGGATCATTGGCTTCAAATTTAAGATGGTGAAGAATTTTGAAAAAATTAAGTTCAATCGTAATTTAGTAGCTGTTTTTCCACTGTTTTTTTAAATTTTCAGAATTATGACTGAATTTAAGAATCTCTGTTCAGTCTTAAACGTTAAGAAAGGGGTATTTTTGTCCTCAATATTGCTTGCCTGGATTGTGGAGCGTTGCTTGATTCAAATGTTTATGTTTCTGGTCTTTCACCGTAATTAACCCTTAGAGTCCTTGCAGATCTATGGAGATCTGAGTTATCAACCTCTCCCTTTCTGTGCAATCCCTTTTTCTTGCCTCTTGTTAAATTCTTGTCATCCACCCCTGGGGAGCCAAGGAGCTGACCTGCTCTCACGCATACTTTCCAGTCTTTGGCTGCTAGAAGGGGCCTGAGAGCAGCCTGTGATGTTTTGCTGCCTGGTTTTCCCTCTGTCCCTGTTGTCTCTTTGGCCTCCAGTGAGATTTGTTATTAGTAAAAGGGTGAGAAGTGTAAGGAACAAATTACTTGTACAGTTCGGATTTCAAAAAGGAACTAAATACATTTCTGGAAATTAAAATAATTCAGGTTATTAGATGATGAGATAGAATATATTTTGGGAACTTGGATGAGTAAGCTGGATGGAATAATGGTATCCCATACTCTGCACTCCACCATTGATGGCCGAGTTTCAGATAATACGGCCCTAAGCTCTGGAACTCCCTCTCTATCCCTCACCATCTCATTGCTCTGTGTCTGTAAACTTCACCTTAAAACTTTGACCATGCCTATGGTCACCTCCTCCTTCTCCTCTACATTCTCCCTCGCTCAGCATCCACCCATCATTGTAAAGCACTCCAAGATATTAACCTACACAAAGGCCACTACATAAATGCAAGTTGTTATTGTTGTATGTATTGGAGAGTGATGGATGTAAAATCTTAATTGAAAACATAGGATAAACAAACAAAGAAGAATGTTCTCTTTAGTGAGTACAAGATGGGGTCTGGTGCCAGTGGAACCATACCCCAGGGGAAGGTGAACAAAGACAGGCAACAAAATGGAGGGGAGAAACATTGACAAAAAAACATGGTTCGTTGGACAGAATGAGCTGAGGGGAAATATTAATAATCCTTGCATTTGATAGTGCAATGTGTCAGCACTTGTAGGCAAATGCGGAAGCCAATTTTCACATAGCAAGCTTTCACAAACAGCCAGCAAGTGAATGATCAATTTATCAAGACAATTGAGGATTGATATAATGGAAGAAACTCCATTTACTTTCCAAATAGTACCATGGCATCTTTAACATCCACCTAAGCAAGCAGAACCTTGGTTTGACATCTCATCTGAGAGATGGCTTCTCCAACAATCCAGCACTCCCCCAGCCTAGCCTGTGAGCTCACGTAAACTCAAGTCCCGATGTGGGGCTTGAACCCACAACTTTCTCACCCAAAGATGAGAGTACTACCAACTGAGCCAAGCTGCCATGAAATGGTTTTCATTCCATGGATTCTTATGTTCTGACAGAATGCGCTGAGTGGCACATTAACAGAAAATGTGAGTGGAGGTCTTATTTAGATCTGCTTCCTTCCTAACTTCAGGGTGTTGTTGCTGATACCTCCCCACAGACAGTAGCGCCTTCATCACAGGAAGCCAGTGGTCAACAACAACAGATACCAGTGGAAACAACCAATGAACACGCGCCTACCTATTCTTACCAACAAGCTAAGTAAGTGTTGCATTTAGTGGCATCAGAAACAATAACCATTCCCTGAGTAACTGGGCACTCTCTCAGACTGCAACCTCCAACATTAGCTGGGACAGGGTCTGAAGCCCATAAGACAGAAGATGAACAGGCTTTTCCGATTTAATTACTTTGCACAGAGAGTGGTGAATATCCAGGGAGATAATGGAGGCAGATTCTGTCAGAGAAGAGAAGATTAGATTGTCGTTTGACTTAGAATTCAATTGAGGTGTAGGAGAGGTAGAATATGAGAGATAGTACGAGAGATTGGGTTGTTAGGAGGTGGAATACTCTACATGGAACCATGGCTAAGCCAGAATCCATATAAGCTTTTAAGAGGGAATTAGATAAATATCTGAAAAGGAGAGGTTATGAAAGGATATAAGGAAAGAGAATGAGGCTAAACAGATTTTCTTTCAGAGACCCCATGCGGGCACGATTGATGGATGGCATTCTTCTGGGCTGTAAATGACTATGGTTCTATAGCAGGATACTTTATTTTACAATGCAATACAATGCAATTTACACTTATATAGTGACAGAACGAGGTCCCAAAGTGCTTGACAATTCTGTCTGGGCACTGGAGCTGAGGGTGAGAGCTGAATGTGCTGTCAAAGAGGTAGGTTTTGAGGTGTACCGTAAAAGAGGGGAGGGAGGGAGCATGTTGGAGGGATCTGGGAATAGAGTATTTATTTAAAAAATAAACTTGGGAACCAGCCAGATCGATCACAATGCCTTTCTCCAGTCCTGTACTTTTCTGTGTTACTATGGATAATCGCCATCCAAGGTCCAGTATATAAACCACTACCCACACTTTCATTTCAAGGCTTAAATCCAGCCATGCTTTGTCTGTAATGGACAAGGGGAAATAATGCATTCTTCAGTATTTGACAATTTAAACATGAGATTAACAATTTCTTGTTGAGAAGTTGCTAAGAAATATCACAAATTAGACCCCATAAATTTGTCTCCATATTCTAAGAATAACAAGTATTGCTATTAATGATCATTCCATCATGCACCTCTCAACTGGATTTATAAATGAGGAAAAGAGTCTTGAAAGTACTTTGCCTTTATCATCCTGTCCCTTTACTCTAGAAGGAATATGCATTGTTTAGTCCATTCTGAGAAGTATTCTTTTGAGCCAAAAGAGCCTTCATTTAGCTGGTGGTTCCTTATATCTAATCACTTTAATACTGCTACAATATATCTACACAGATAAAAATCAGTATTGGTTAAACATATAAATATATTTGTATGGCATATATATATAAATAACTAGTGGTGTACATCTATCTATATGCACTATGTATGTGATATGCAACTTAAATAACAATAACTGAGAAGTGGAATACTACCATTTCCTGATTAAGTAGATTTATATTTTCCCAAAGTCTAATAACTCGGAAGAATACATCTGTCTACGTATATTTAGCTACTGCATATTAAACAATTGATAAATTCAGGGCACACTTAGAGGGCTGAACAGTACGGATATATTTGACTGGATGCCAACATTTCAAGCCCTTGTCTGAATATTACAAAGATCTCCATGGCCAAAGTGATTGATATCGCACTGAGCGAGTAGCTCTGACCTTTTCCACATAGGCTATCTTTTGTCACTGTATGAACTGCCGATGCGGTTCCATGCTCTAGTAGTTGATGACTCTTCCAAGAATGTAGATACAAGCTTGACTGAAGTGACAGTGAACAGGACTGAAACAGGAATACTAGCTTCAGAGCTGGAAATCTGTCTTGTGCTCAAAAGGGTACGAATGGGGAGAGGGAATTCTCTGTTTGGCAGACGTGTAATGTAACAGAAATTGCTATAGTTTGTTATGAACAGAGGATTTAAGTTTAATAATGTGCACAATTGCCACTCACTCTATTGACTCCTGCTTCTCAGCTCATCAATACGAATGCTGCCATTGATCTTCCACCAAAAGCAGAATCTCCCACAGGGTACTCTGTAATTAACATGATTATTTCACAGAAAGTCACGTCATTGGGACCGCTGGGCAAGATATCAGCAGTTTGTCAAGTCCATCTTCTTAATTTACACACTTTAGGTGATACTTGTCGATTGTGTAGTTTTAATGTATAATCTTTACTCCAGGCTGTAGAGGTACAGTTCCCATGGGTCAGCTTGATGTACTTTTGGTTATTGAAACAAGTCTCCATTTACTCAACTTGGGTTTCTTGTTAAGGAATCCTGTTAAGAATTTCCACAATGTGTGTGTGTGTGACAGCCAGATGAGGAGAGGTCAGGCTTAGCTGTATATTTAAGTGGCTTTTCCAGGTTCACACCTGGATAATGGCAACTTGGACAGGTTACCAGAGGGCAGCATAGCAAGAGGAGCCCAGACCAGGAGCAGAGAGTTATATGCCAGGGAGGGGAAATTAGAAAAGTAATAAATTGAACACGCTAAACTTAAAAAAAAAGCCCCAGCCCTGCTTTAATGCAGTTGAGAGTTCATTGGTGAGCTAATAATAATAATCCTTGCATTTGATATAGCACTTTATATCTTCGAGACGCCTCAGAACGCTACACAGAATATACTGTAACATGAATTGACTGTATATTTTGTGTGTGAAACGCAGCAGCCAATTGCTCACAGCAGTGTCCCACAAACAGTCGCGGATTGAAGTGACCAATTTATTATTATTATCATTATTTTTTTGAAGGGATTATTATCCCTGGAAAAGCAATCTGCCAATCGACTAACAACCAGGTTCCTACTTACTGCTAGGTAAACAGAGGCATGTGGAGTAAGAAAACTTGCCCAACGTTTCATCCTGCCCAGGAATCAAACCCAGGTTCTCTCGCTCGCGAGATAAGTGCTCTAACCACTAAGATACAGGACTCCATGATAATAGCACCTTCCGTCGGGTGGATGTCTCGAAGCACTTCACAGAATTTACTGTAAAGTGTAGTGACTGTGTATTTTGTGAACACGTCAGCCAATTTGCGCACAGCAACGTTCCACAATCTGTAAAGTTTTATCAATAAAATAATAATAATCCTTGCCTTATTAGGTCATCGAGAAGTCCAAAGCACTTCATAGGATGGATGCATCTTTAATAGACTGTTCATACAGCAATTCTGCCTATGCCAATTAACTTGACTCGACTCAACTAACCACAAAGTTACATTGAATTCCCATTGAAATTCCAAGGATTGGATAATTGTATTCTAACCACGATGCCTCATATTCCCCTCTGCCAGGATGAGACATTAAGAAAGGCAGTGCACTTAGTTTTATAATAGACAGTTACTTGAGAACCTTGCAATTGGAGCATTCTGCAAATAGATCAAAATTCAAGAGGTTTAACTTAACACTTAGATAGGAATCCTGTTAGATCATTGCATTCTGTTCAGTTGCTGCATAATTCTGCAGCTTGTGCCGTTTCATCTTCTAACTCCTAGGTGGGCAAACCTTTCTTTGGTGTGTTTTACTCTTCAATGTGGGTGCAGTGTAATGTTGTTTGCGTGTCCCTCTTTTATTCTCTCTTTCCCTAATTGTCTGTCTGTGACTATCTGTGTGGGTGGGTCTCTCTCTGCAACTCTTAACCGTCTTTGTATCTCTGTGACTGTATAATTCTCTCTCCCTTTTTTTATGTGTGTATGTGTAAGCTTGTGTTTTTTATCTGTGCTGACCCACATCTTGTTCTTATCTGGTGCTGCCAGTTCACCTTCTCTGCATTAAAATCCTGATCCTGGACATCTTGTATGTATGTGCGCAACTGAAACAAATTCCCAACATCACATTCCAGATTGACTTGTGTGTTGGTCCCCTGCAGGTAGCCAGCTTGTAGATATTGCGTGATCTACTATACACTTCTTTTGGAAATTTTAAATGTTGAATCTTTATTCTCTTGACTATTCTGTACCAACACATGGGATCTGATCTTATTTCTCCATTTATTTTCCCCCACAGACAGTAAACAGGACTGAAACAGGAATCATGAGCTGAAAATTGTCTTGAACCAGGAAACTTCAGTGAATATGAAGGTGGCTTCCAGTTTGCACAGGCGTCGAATGAATGCTTTTTATTTCCTACCTTACCTGACAAAAAAAAAGTGTTTTTATGTGCTGTGCAAATGGTTCAGTGATGTAGTCTGACAGTTTAATTTTGCTATAAAAGCTTATTTTTAAAAGAGAAAGAAAAACCCACAAAGGGGATTTGTTTTGACTTTTCATTCAGATGAACAGGTAAACTATAAATGATTTGTATGTTCAGATAGACTTAGAACTGTAAGACTGGCAAGATTGGAAGAGGAAGGAAGCTGCAGTGTTTTTAGGAAAGTGTAATTGTCTTCCTCTGATATTAAGCTACTTTTTTTTTCCTGTCTTTTATTAATTTGTAGGTTTTTCAGAAACGTTTAGCTAAGATTTATCTTGACTTAATTGCCTTAATTTTGAGGACGTCAGGCTCTCAAAGCCAGCTGTCGACATTGCGTTAGAAATTCTAGAGTTATCTGAAAATTATGTGCTTGGACCAAGAGGTGCAAGAGTTTGATAAAAAGCTTACTTTCTAGGGAGGTAAAATAGCTAAATAAGCTGTACAGGTTAAAAAAAAAAAAAAAATTGTTGCTTGTCTTCTTTTGCAGAAGAACGCGATTTTATTGATAAAGAACAAGGACTATCAACAAAATCTGAAAAAAATTGCTGACACTTTTAATGAATTTTGTCTTAAAGCAGTGGAAACTGACAATTTGCAGAAGGCTGAAGCATTTTGCGATTTGAAAAAAAAATTGACTGCATTGGAGAAAATGTAGTTTATCGCTTAATGTAGATTGTTTTATTTACAAAGCATAATTGCTCGCAGCGGAATTAGTGCTTTATATTTGCAATCTTTTTTATTCGCTTAAAAAAAAAATTTTTAGTCTGCTTTGCTTGTCACCTTGCAGATGGAAAGCTGAAGAGTAAAAGGTGCGAACTAGATAGATAGGAGCTTATGGTTAAAGAAAAAAAATCAAAGCAAAAGC